GAGAATGAATGAAGCATCTTTTATAATATCAAAGTCATTCCAAATCTTACAGAAATTTGACAACCAGTCAGAGGGCCATCCATGGTTTCATTGTTCAGTGACAGAGAAATGTGTTCTTTCAAGGTCTTTTTGCTCCGTGTGTCACTGGCATTCATTTCAATGTATGTAAAACCAGGCTCTTCACAAACAAGTGTCGCTAATGTGGTTTTACCAACTCCTGAGGAACCGGGCAGAAGAGCTGCCTTAAAGGACGAGCCATCTTGGTCTTTGTTGAAAAAGGAAGCTGTACAAAATGAAAATGCTTACAATTGTGATTCCATTACTAACATACTAACTACATGTATAAGTGACGGTCAAGTGAAATAAATTCATCAAAGTTCATAAGTTACAGCTCTTTACAGAAATGTATCTCTGAGTGTTGGAATTAAGAAACAATCTGGATTCATTATGAAAGGCATTCAGCCTATAGCTAGACAACATTTGCATCACAACTCAATTTAAGGTCTTCTGTAAAATATCTGCAGATTAGGGTCAGGTTCATCCACTGAACCCTTTTACTCCAAAGAGCTCCCTAGTACTTCTTGCTGTCTGCCATCAAATTCTTATGATTGGATAATGTGGTATTGCATCAACTAATAATCCCCAAATTAATGTTTTTTTATAGTCTCATAACTTGCCTGCTCGATATTGTATTGATATTGTAAGGAGAAATCCTGTCTTGGTCACTTATGGGAGTTAAAGGAAAAGAAAAATGTGTAGCAGCTAGAGGGGAGAATTAACAATCAGATCTTGGTCTTTGAAACCTACCTGAGGGATTTCCTTTGAATCAAGTGCCCTAGCACCATCTCTTGCCATAAAACTACGGAAACCTGATTTTTTCTTTTCCAATGAGGGTGGAACTTCAACCACTTCCTCTGATTTTGACACCTTTGGTGTTCCTTGGGTTGGAGTTTCCTTACTAACATCTTTTCATCCTTTTTCAGAGTAACAGTTTTCTTTGCACTTGGTTTTGAGTCTCTAACTGGAGTTTCTGGAACTGTAGCAGCTTCGACAGCCAGTTTGCTAGCAGGAATTGTCTTTGGTACTTCCTGAAAAGTCCATGGATAAAATTTGAAGTGAACAAATATTACATGTATATCAAA